AGCTCCGTCCCAGGCAGTCGGGGCCAGGCCCCAAGGACCCCAGAGCGAGGAAACTCCATAAATGCATCCTGGGATGGGCAGGGCTCCGCTCTGGGCTACCCCAAAAAGGGAGGCCCTGGCCACCCCCAGAGACTCACCGGCCAGCAGGCTCCATCCGGGACCGGGGCAAGCACGTCCACATCCAGCAGGTGCTCTGAGATCCGGCTGCGAAAACCGAAGTCCTGGAGACGGTGGGCGGGAAGGTCAACGCTGCCCATCAACCCGGCACCCACCAGGCCCCTCCCCAGCCTCCCAGGAAGACCCGCCACACGCCAGGCGCTGCACCAAATATTCTGGCATCTAATTACTGTAATCTTCAAAGCAACACATGAGCAGACGGAAAGAGGTAACCAGGCAAGTATGCCAACAGGCTCACTGTGGACGGCAGGTGTGTGCACAATCGCTGTAAAGCCTCTGAATCGCGCTGTGTGGTTGGAATTTCTCATGGAAAAGTATGAAGAAAAAGAGCCCCGCTAGAGCAGTTCTCCCATCTGCATCTCCCAGCTGAGGCAGAGGCTCACCGCATCTGTCACTTCCCCAAGGTCGCGCCGCTGACAGACGCGGGGCTGCGGGCAGATGTGTCCGGGACAGACTCCAAAGCCCAAGCTCTTGGCATGACACCTGCCGCAAAGCTTGTCCCTTCCCGCCGTCTCTCCCTCCTGTGCCCACCGAAGCACCCAGAGACCTGTGGCAGCTCGGAAACGGCGCGTGGGCTCCTCCCCCTCGTCCTGCTCGTATACAGGTGCCTCCGAACCACGGGCACTCCCAGCAGCTTCCTCACAGGCTTCTCGCTGGGGCAGGCGGCAAGCGCCACACAGGAGCCAGCCCCCTGCTGCCCCGGCTGCCAGGTAACCATGCTGCCACCCCTCCACCCGAGATCCCACCGGGCAAGGTGAGGGGCTGCTACCTGGCAGCATGCTACCAGGGACAGCCGTCATCAGCCCTGACAAATGGCGGAGGCCCAGCCACGTTCTGGTCCTGCAGCACGTGCTGTCCTCCAGCCACCCGCTCAGAGAAGCGAGGACGGCTGGGCGCCGCCTCCACACAGCAGCCCCGCGCAAGGGCAGAGCCCACCAAGAGCCCCGCGACGTGGCCCTTCTCCACACGGCCTTGCCCGCAGGGGCTCTGCCTTGCCTTCCTAGCCTATGAGTTCCCTTTTGGTGACATTTTCCTTTCAGGCTGAGTTCTGCTCCATTAATGCAGCTGCCATCTGCCTCCCTAGCCTCACATCACTGCTGCTCAGCCTGACCCTCTTCCCTGAGCCCATCCCCTAGACTACCTCCTCCAAACAGAGGGAGCTCGGCTTCCAGAGGCGAGACCGAGACGCAGGCCTGGCGGGCACGGGACACTGCAGGCTGCGGGAAGGGCTGGACAAGGAAACCATGGAAGCTGCATTCTAGGACTACGTCCTGACTTTAGATATGAAACCCCAGCACCCGCCTGGCCAGAGCCCGAGACGGTCCTCGCCATCGCTCAGTGATCACACACGCACACACACATGCACACACACACGCACACAGGAGACGCAGGCCTGGCGGGCACGGGACACTGCAGGCTGCGGGAAGGGCTGGACAAGGAAACCATGGAAGCTGCATTCTAGGACTACGTCCTGACTTTAGATATGAAACCCCAGCACCCGCCTGGCCAGAGCCCGAGACGGTCCTCGCCATCGCTCAGTGATCACACACGCACACACACATGCACACACACACGCACACAGTCTATGGCCACCTAGGTCTGGGTGACGTTCCTGCGGAGCCCAGAGGCACTGACTTCGCAGGACCTCAGGGCATTCACACGGCAGCCCTGGAAACAGCAGCGACCTTTCTTTAAGGTTTATGTGCTGATGGTTCCCTTGACCCAATTTCTTCTCATGACAAGCTATGAAGTAGGTGGTATTATCCTTAGTGATGGCCTAAGAAACTGGAGGCATACAAGACCAAAGTTTGACTCACACTTCCCCAGGTATAAGCTGTGATGAGAGGCAGACACTTAAGCACCGTGACCCGCGAGTGCACGCCTTCTCCCGGCCCCTGCTCCCTCCTCTGACTCACCAGGCCAAGGGGGGACTTGGAGTTGGAGGCATCGGAGTCTGAGCCCTGTAGCTCCTTCACATGTTCACTGATCTCCAGCGCCACACACACACACCCACCCCCCCACCCCCCCACACACACAGCCACGCCTGTTCTGCTGTGCAGGGCCCTGGTCCAGCTCTGAGCTGCAGAACTGACCCTCCCGCGTGACCCCCAGGGCTCCCGCGGCTACTCCAGCGCCGGCCACAACCAGACACACAGTTCAATCCCAGCAGTGACAAGTCGGAGCCCCGGCCCACAGTGGTGCCATGTGCAGCGTCAACCAGGCACCAGCAGCTCTTCCCTCTCCTGTCTTGGTGTGGAATCACAGGTCTGCTCTCTCACCCACACTCACACAAGCATATACACTCACTCATTCCCTCTCTCTCTCTCTCTCTCTCTCACACACACACACACACACACACACACACACACGTCACCAGGACAGAGGGCAGGGGGTCAGGATCGCTGGGGAGACAGACCCACAGCAGTCACCAGGACAGAGGGCAGGGGGTCAGGATCGCTGGGGAGACAGACCCACAGCAGTCACCAGGACAGAGGGCAGGGGGTCAGGATCGCTGGGGAGACAGACCCACAGCAGTCACCAGGACAGAGGGCAGGGGGTCAGGATCGCTGGGGAGACAGACCCACAGCAGTCACCAGGACAGAGGGCAGGGGGTCAGGATCGCTGGGGAGACAGACCCACAGCAGTCACCAGGACAGAGGGCAGGGGGTCAGGATCGCTGGGGAGACAGACCCACAGCAGTCACCAGGACAGAGGGCAGGGGGTCAGGATCGCTGGGGAGACAGACCCACAGCAGTCACCAGGACAGAGGGCAGGGGGTCAGGATCGCTGGGGAGACAGACCCACAGCAGTCACCAGGACAGAGGGCAGGGGGTCAGGATCGCTGGGGAGACAGACCCACAGCAGTCACCAGGACAGAGGGCAGGGGGTCAGGATCGCTGGGGAGACAGACCCACAGCAGTCACCAGGACAGAGGGCAGGGGGTCAGGATCGCTGGGGAGACAGACCCACAGCAGTCACCAGGACAGAGGGCAGGGGGTCAGGATCGCTGGGGAGACAGACCCACAGCAGTCACCAGGACAGAGGGCAGGGGGTCAGGATCGCTGGGGAGACAGACCCACAGCAGTCACCAGGACAGAGGGCAGGGGGTCAGGATCGCTGGGGAGACAGACCCACAGCAGTCACCAGGACAGAGGGCAGGGGGTCAGGATCGCTGGGGAGACAGACCCACAGCAGTCACCAGGACAGAGGGCAGGGGGTCAGGATCGCTGGGGAGACAGACCCACAGCAGTCACCAGGACAGAGGGCAGGGGGTCAGGATCGCTGGGGAGACAGACCCACAGCAGTCACCAGGACAGAGGGCAGGGGGTCAGGATCGCTGGGGAGACAGACCCACAGCAGTCACCAGGACAGAGGGCAGGGGGTCAGGATCGCTGGGGAGACAGACCCACAGCAGTCACCAGGACAGAGGGCAGGGGGTCAGGATCGCTGGGGAGACAGACCCACAGCAGTCACCAGGACAGAGGGCAGGGGGTCAGGATCGCTGGGGAGACAGACCCACAGCAGTCACCAGGACAGAGGGCAGGGGGTCAGGATCGCTGGGGAGACAGACCCACAGCAGTCACCAGGACAGAGGGCAGGGGGTCAGGATCGCTGGGGAGACAGACCCACAGCAGTCACCAGGACAGAGGGCAGGGGGTCAGGATCGCTGGGGAGACAGACCCACAGCAGTCACCAGGACAGAGGGCAGGGGGTCAGGATCGCTGGGGAGACAGACCCACAGCAGTCACCAGGACAGAGGGCAGGGGGTCAGGATCGCTGGGGAGACAGACCCACAGCAGTCACCAGGACAGAGGGCAGGGGGTCAGGATCGCTGGGGAGACAGACCCACAGCAGTCACCAGGACAGAGGGCAGGGGGTCAGGATCGCTGGGGAGACAGACCCACAGCAGTCACCAGGACAGAGGGCAGGGGGTCAGGATCGCTGGGGAGACAGACCCACAGCAGTCACCAGGACAGAGGGCAGGGGGTCAGGATCGCTGGGGAGACAGACCCACAGCAGTCACCAGGACAGAGGGCAGGGGGTCAGGATCGCTGGGGAGACAGACCCACAGCAGTCACCAGGACAGAGGGCAGGGGGTCAGGATCGCTGGGGAGACAGACCCACAGCAGTCACCAGGACAGAGGGCAGGGGGTCAGGATCGCTGGGGAGACAGACCCACAGCAGTCACCAGGACAGAGGGCAGGGGGTCAGGATCGCTGGGGAGACAGACCCACAGCAGTCACCAGGACAGAGGGCAGGGGGTCAGGATCGCTGGGGAGACAGACCCACAGCAGTCACCAGGACAGAGGGCAGGGGGTCAGGATCGCTGGGGAGACAGACCCACAGCAGTCACCAGGACAGAGGGCAGGGGGTCAGGATCGCTGGGGAGACAGACCCACAGCAGTCACCAGGACAGAGGGCAGGGGGTCAGGATCGCTGGGGAGACAGACCCACAGCAGTCACCAGGACAGAGGGCAGGGGGTCAGGATCGCTGGGGAGACAGACCCACAGCAGTCACCAGGACAGAGGGCAGGGGGTCAGGATCGCTGGGGAGACAGACCCACAGCAGTCACCAGGACAGAGGGCAGGGGGTCAGGATCGCTGGGGAGACAGACCCACAGCAGTCACCAGGACAGAGGGCAGGGGGTCAGGATCGCTGGGGAGACAGACCCACAGCAGTCACCAGGACAGAGGGCAGGGGGTCAGGATCGCTGGGGAGACAGACCCACAGCAGTCACCAGGACAGAGGGCAGGGGGTCAGGATCGCTGGGGAGACAGACCCACAGCAGTCACCAGGACAGAGGGCAGGGGGTCAGGATCGCTGGGGAGACAGACCCACAGCAGTCACCAGGACAGAGGGCAGGGGGTCAGGATCGCTGGGGAGACAGACCCACAGCAGTCACCAGGACAGAGGGCAGGGGGTCAGGATCGCTGGGGAGACAGACCCACAGCAGTCACCAGGACAGAGGGCAGGGGGTCAGGATCGCTGGGGAGACAGACCCACAGCAGTCACCAGGACAGAGGGCAGGGGGTCAGGATCGCTGGGGAGACAGACCCACAGCAGTCACCAGGACAGAGGGCAGGGGGTCAGGATCGCTGGGGAGACAGACCCACAGCAGTCACCAGGACAGAGGGCAGGGGGTCAGGATCGCTGGGGAGACAGACCCACAGCAGTCACCAGGACAGAGGGCAGGGGGTCAGGATCGCTGGGGAGACAGACCCACAGCAGTCACCAGGACAGAGGGCAGGGGGTCAGGATCGCTGGGGAGACAGACCCACAGCAGTCACCAGGACAGAGGGCAGGGGGTCAGGATCGCTGGGGAGACAGACCCACAGCAGTCACCAGGACAGAGGGCAGGGGGTCAGGATCGCTGGGGAGACAGACCCACAGCAGTCACCAGGACAGAGGGCAGGGGGTCAGGATCGCTGGGGAGACAGACCCACAGCAGTCACCAGGACAGAGGGCAGGGGGTCAGGATCGCTGGGGAGACAGACCCACAGCAGTCACCAGGACAGAGGGCAGGGGGTCAGGATCGCTGGGGAGACAGACCCACAGCAGTCACCAGGACAGAGGGCAGGGGGTCAGGATCGCTGGGGAGACAGACCCACAGCAGTCACCAGGACAGAGGGCAGGGGGTCAGGATCGCTGGGGAGACAGACCCACAGCAGTCACCAGGACAGAGGGCAGGGGGTCAGGATCGCTGGGGAGACAGACCCACAGCAGTCACCAGGACAGAGGGCAGGGGGTCAGGATCGCTGGGGAGACAGACCCACAGCAGTCACCAGGACAGAGGGCAGGGGGTCAGGATCGCTGGGGAGACAGACCCACAGCAGTCACCAGGACAGAGGGCAGGGGGTCAGGATCGCTGGGGAGACAGACCCACAGCAGTCACCAGGACAGAGGGCAGGGGGTCAGGATCGCTGGGGAGACAGACCCACAGCAGTCACCAGGACAGAGGGCAGGGGGTCAGGATCGCTGGGGAGACAGACCCACAGCAGTCACCAGGACAGAGGGCAGGGGGTCAGGATCGCTGGGGAGACAGACCCACAGCAGTCACCAGGACAGAGGGCAGGGGGTCAGGATCGCTGGGGAGACAGACCCACAGCAGTCACCAGGACAGAGGGCAGGGGGTCAGGATCGCTGGGGAGACAGACCCACAGCAGTCACCAGGACAGAGGGCAGGGGGTCAGGATCGCTGGGGAGACAGACCCACAGCAGTCACCAGGACAGAGGGCAGGGGGTCAGGATCGCTGGGGAGACAGACCCACAGCAGTCACCAGGACAGAGGGCAGGGGGTCAGGATCGCTGGGGAGACAGACCCACAGCAGTCACCAGGACAGAGGGCAGGGGGTCAGGATCGCTGGGGAGACAGACCCACAGCAGTCACCAGGACAGAGGGCAGGGGGTCAGGATCGCTGGGGAGACAGACCCACAGCAGTCACCAGGACAGAGGGCAGGGGGTCAGGATCGCTGGGGAGACAGACCCACAGCAGTCACCAGGACAGAGGGCAGGGGGTCAGGATCGCTGGGGAGACAGACCCACAGCAGTCACCAGGACAGAGGGCAGGGGGTCAGGATCGCTGGGGAGACAGACCCACAGCAGTCACCAGGACAGAGGGCAGGGGGTCAGGATCGCTGGGGAGACAGACCCACAGCAGTCACCAGGACAGAGGGCAGGGGGTCAGGATCGCTGGGGAGACAGACCCACAGCAGTCACCAGGACAGAGGGCAGGGGGTCAGGATCGCTGGGGAGACAGACCCACAGCAGTCACCAGGACAGAGGGCAGGGGGTCAGGATCGCTGGGGAGACAGACCCACAGCAGTCACCAGGACAGAGGGCAGGGGGTCATGATTGCTGGGGAGACAGACCTACAGACAGTCACCAGGACAGAGGGCTGGGGGTCATGATCACTACCCAGGGAGCTGTCAGGCCAGGACGCCAACATGGGGCTAAGCCCAAACCAGAGCCCGCCTTTTCTGGAAAACTGAGAGGTCTATGGACTCTCCCATTCTCTCTGGACATAGATGCCAGGCCCAGCCCCTGAGCTGGCAGCCCCGGTGAGTATGGACAAGAAGGGTCTGCATGCTAAGGAGAGCCAGTGAGTGCAGTAGGCATAGCTAGGGAAGTTTGATGCTATCCTGAAAACAAACACAGCATGGGAGTATCCTTCCCAGGAAGCAGTTAAGAGCTCCTTAAATGAATTCCCCCACCATCCACCTGGAGGAGCAGCAGGACTAAGGGCTGGAAAACCAAAAATGCCCACGGCTCTCCCCGGTCTGACTTCTGTCCATCGGGTCATGGCCAGGTCTTGGATCGGTGCAGAAAGAGCCACAGAAATCAATGAGGAGTCCCAGGGCTGGGCAGGACCCCAGCTGCCTTGCCCACTCGAGGTTCTCCTCTCTCTGCAGGAACTCAGATTGCTGCAAGCAAGGCCAATCCCAAACTGAAGGCACGAAGCCGCAGGAGAGCCTGGGCAACGTGGCTCAGCAGTTGAGCGTTGACCCAGGAACCAAGAGGTCACTGGTTCGATTCCCGTCAGGGCACACACCTTGGGGGGGGGGGGGGGTAAGTTGCAGGGTCGATCCCCAGTAGGGGGTGTGCAGGAGGCAGCCAATCAATGATTCTCTCTCATCACTGATGTTTTTATCTCTCTCTCCCTCTCCCTTCCTCTCTCTCTAAAAATCAATAAAAATATATTTTTTAAAAAAAGGAAAAGTAGCAGGGGAGGCGGGAATGGGAGAGGAGGGATTAGACCAGAAGATGTGGCAATCCCAGGAGGCTCCCAAAGGAAAGGCCAGTGTCTGCTGTGAATTCCCTCAGGAGGCTACCGCCCGCTGAGTGGGCCTGCTTACCACAACAAAGGCCTCTGGCTGCTGCCCATGCCCACCAAGGCCTGCGGGGGAGGGGGGGAGGGGCCCTGCCTCCGTGGCAGGCCTGGGCGAGGGAGCAGCCAAGGCTGCCCAGGACGCCTGTGGGACAGACTCACGTCACTGGCGTCTGATCCGCTCTCTCCCGGAACAGGGGCCTCCTCCTCCGGCTCCTTTGCAGCGTCCTCCTTCCTGGAAGCCTCCCCTGCTGCAGCCGGGTCCTGGGGTGTGTCTCTCTTACGGGATGTGGCGGGCTGGTCGCCCCCAGGGCCCACCAGACTCGTGGCCGTCATCGCAGGGTCACTCTCGTGACTCTTGTCTCTTCCTGGGAGCCGGGCACTTGCCCCTTCTCCCTGTCGCCCTCTGCTGCCTACGCTGGCCAGGCTGCTGTCTGCACCTCGGCCGGAGAGCCTGCTGGAAGTCGGGGGGCGGGCAGCACCCAAGTCAGGAGAGAGGGCCTTCTCCTCACGCTGGCTTGTTCCTGGAGACTCCTGGGGAGCGTGGGCCAGGTCAGAAAGGAAGATGGCGGAGTTAGCACACAGCGTTTAGAGACTTGCTGCAAGTCGGGTCTCCTCAACGCCTAGGCCACTGCTCCAGTCCTGACACCAGTGGCTATCAAGCACCCTCAAAGCTTTGGGGAGCACAGACCCCTGGCTCCCAGACCCGCTGACTCCGAATGCCATGGTGATTCCGGACCCCATCCGCAGAGGAGCATGGACACCGCTGCCTGGAGGTCCGCCGCCATCCACCTGCCATGTCCTCAAGGGACGAGCCTCTCATTCCAGCCCCAAGAAGATCGTAAGATCGCAGACGGTCGGCATCTATTCACAATGACTATGACGGAGAATCACGTGAGAAAAGCACCAGAGTCTAGGATTTCTATTTCTCATCTTTAAAAGGCAGCAGGGAGGACACCTTCCTCACAGCAGCAGGTACAGCCACCGCCCAAGCCCCCTGCACAGGCCCTGGGACGGGTCCTCGTGGGAGTACCCTCTCAGGCTCTGAGCACACGTGCCAGGGTGGGCCAGGGTTCCATCCATTTACTGTGAAGGATAAAGGAGGGAGGGAAGCCTTCGAACACGGGTCTCAGACCTGCGACTGGAGGAATGGAAGGAGGACGCTTGAGGAGGGGAGGAAGCCTCCGGCCACAGCAGTTCTGAGGAATGTGTGTGTGGGGGGGGGGGGGGGGTGGCACACATCAGATAGAAATGTCCCTGTTCCAGGGCGTGCTGCACCCCACCCACTCCATCAACAACACGGCCTTAGCAGGAGCCACAGGGGAGCAAAGTCCAGCAGCTGGGGGCTGTCGACCTGCCCTGGGCCCTCCACCAGGGCCTCCTGAAAAACAACCTGGGCAGCAGACTCCGCCACTGCTGCACCCTGCTGCTCACACACACCTCGCTTCACACCTGCTGCTCACACACACCTTGCTTCACACCTCCTGCTCACACACACCTCGCTTTCATGCCTGTCACACACACCTCACACACCCCTCGCTTTCACGCCTGCTGCTCACACACACCTCGCTTCACACCTGCTGCTCACACCTCGCTTCACACCTGCTGCTCACACACCTCGCTTCACACCTGCTGCTCACACACACCTTGCTTCACACCTGCTGCTCACACAACACTTCGCTTCACACCTCCTGCTCACACACCTCACTTCACACCTCCTGCTCACACACACCTCGCTTCGAAGACGAGGAAACCTTCAGAGCTGAGCTGGTCTAAATAAACACAGGGCCCCTTTCCTGCCCCAAAAATGCAGCCAGTGACCTCTCCTGAGCTCAGGCAGGGACACCTTCCGCCAGAAAACACCTGTGCCCACACCTGAGCTGCCAGTGCGCACAACATCCGAGACCTCCCTGCCCCAGTCACCCAAACAGGGGGCCTGACAACTAGAGTCCACAGGCCCAAGGAGTAGCCCCAGCACAGCATCCACTGACGCTGCCTGTCAGGGGGCTGCTGCACCCACAGCCAAGGCACCTGCCTGCAGGTCCAGCAGTCCACTGACCAACCGCCCAGATATGCCAGGGCCCATAAGGAGAGGCAGGGAATTGCAGCCTCTCAGAAGGAAACTCTCTGCCCATTTATCCTCTAAACTACAGGGATACAGCCCTAGCCAGTTTGGCTCTGTGGATAGAGCATCGGCCCTCAGACTGAAGAGTCCCGGGTTCAATCCCGGTCAAGGGCACATAACTCAGTTGCAGGCTGATTCCGGACCCCAGTCGGGTGCATGTGGGAGGCAACCAGTCAATGTATCTCTCTCACTTCAATGTTTCTTCCTCTCTCTCTCTCTCTCTCTCTCTCTCTCTCTCTCTCCCTCCCTCTCTCCCTCCC